AAAAAAAAAAAAAAAAAAAAAAGTTGTAAGAAAACTTTATGATATTCCATTACAATACTTTGTATACTCGACAGTGGAGCATGTTACTACTCTGTAAATAGTTCGAAACTGAGTATTTCAGACTCCCGAGAGTGATACCTAAGGGGATTAAAAGTGGATTGGTAAAATAACTTATGTAGCTACTCCACCCTCAGGGAGGTGCAGCATAAATCCCTACTCTTTAAGTGTGGGCACACATAGTGGCTTCCTTCCAAGAGTATAGTATGAAAGTGGGGGAGTAAGTTGACAGTGGAGAAACCTGACAAACAGTACCTAAGCCAACAGACCAAGGTTAACATCAAGTGATAAGGCACGTTGATAGTATGTACCTTTGATATGATGTGATGGGGATGTCATTTTATCTCTGTAATCTTCCTACCAAGAACCCATAATTCTAGTCTAACATGGGGAAAGACACCAAATTCCAGTAGAGAGGCATTCTACAAAATACCTAACCAGTTAAAGCCAGGTCAAGACCTTCAACAACAAGAAAAGTCTGACACAGTCAAGAGGAATCTAAAGAGCTATGACGACTCTAGGTAATGTAGGATCCCACATGGGATCCTGGAGAAAAAAAAAAAAAAAAAAAAGAAGGGGGTGGCAGGGGGACATTAGGCAAAAAACTAAGGAAATCTGAATCGAGTTTGGACTTCAGTTAATAGTGATATATCAATATTGGCTCATTAATTGGAAGCAATGTGCCAAACCAATGTAAGATGTCAATAATAGGGAAAATCGAGTGGGAGTATGTAAAAACTCTCTGTACTGTTTTTGTAATTTTTCTGTAAGTCTAAAACTCTTCTAAAATAAAAAGTTTATTTAAAAAGAGTGGATGGGTACTTTTGACAGACAACTACTACTCATTTGGTTAAGTCTCTTCTCATAGGATTTAGTTTATCACATAGGATTTACAAGGATCAATTACTTGCAATAACTGAGAAGCCAATAAGACACACCGTGGATTTATAATGTACTTTGACTAAAACTGGAATGATGAACTTGGAGGGAATCAAAGATAATGCCTAAATCTGTCTTTGTTATCATTACCTTAAGAAGGGAACAGTTGAGACCAGACCATGTATCCAGACATGGTAACTGACAATGGGTGGATCTGACTCACTGAGTCACATTTCACAGCTTATGCTATATAGGTAAAATTAACGGTGACTAAAAATGAAATTACTGACAAAGGTTGTTCCTGGACCATCTGAGATAGTCCAAGTACTGACTCGGCTTAAAGGAAATAAAACCGAAAACTCTTGATCTCACCCAAAATAACCATTCTGCACCCTGTCTGAACCTTGGGCTCTCTCTGCTAACCAGCCTACTCAAAACCACTACTGAGGGTGGTGCCCCGCTGTTAAGAAACAGACAACACACAGGGCCTTTCGGGCCACCAAACTAATAGCCAAGAAGGAGCCATCAACGACGCGGGCAGGATCCCCTTTGGAGCCCCCTGATCTTGACTAATCATCCATCCCTACAGAAAAAGCCAGTCGGGCTCCTGCCTTACGCTTGGACCCATTTTTAAAGCCAGGTCACGTCACCGACCTAGATACCTGTGCACTGGGAGGGTCTCTCACATCGCCTCGTACTTGAAGTGAAAATCAAGATTCAACGCTCCCCTCCCTAGAGTGGGAAGGCCCAGAGGCGCCTTCCTGGCTCAGCAGTGGCTCTTCCGGGTCTTGGTTTTGCGGGTAAAGAACGCAATTAGATAAAAATCGCTTGTCAGTTTGAAAGAGACTGGACACCCCGTTTCAGCGTTCATGAGATGAGAGGCATAGGAAATCCCCACGCGGGCCTCTCTGCTTCACGTGAGGAGGAAATTGTCACAAGCCTCTGCCTTCCTCAGGTCCCAATCGCATCGCATCCCCTGGCGGCCGCCCCCAACCCCCCTACAGTCCTTGGACCCCCCGGTGTTCTCTCCTCCATCCCTTCAGCCCCTAGACCGGGGAATCCCGGGAACGCGACGTCGCGGCTTCTTTCCCCTTACTCTCTTCCTCCCTTCCGCTCCGCTAGGAGAACGAAGGGGCGCCGAGCGCGGGAAAATGGCGCCGGTCACAAGGCGCGAAGCGTTCGCACGCCTGCGGCCGCGTGACACCAGGGGACCAGGCGTCCGCCTCCCACGCCCTCGCCCCGCCCCCGCGCGCGAGAATCAGAGCACGCACGCGTTCTCCTCTGCGTCCGCTCCCGAGGGGGCGACGGACGGGTAGGGGAGGTGACCCCGGCGTTCCGCTCGGCGCTGTGGAGGAGATGGGGAGGTGTTGGGCCAGGGCTGAAGTAGGAAGGAGACCGTCCCTCGACGCCTCCTGCGACGCTAGCCCCTGAGCCGCGATGCGAGCGTGGGTCCTCCTCTCCGCGGTGCTCTGGTGCCTCCCAGGAGGTGGGGCTCCCTCCGCCGGGTCCCCAGGCCTCTCCCTCGGCCCTGCCTCCTTCGCCTCGCCCTGCCCTGTCCTACTTGAACCCCGCTCCTCTTCTAACTAAAAAGTCAGTGATTTCTTTCCTCCGCAGTCGAATGCCCGCGTTCTACCTTATTCAATACGAAGGGCTTCATTTATGGCCAGCCGGGACACCCAGGTAACGAGGACCTCTGTACGCGGGCCCAGTGGAGGGGCCGGAACTGCGGAGCTCTTCCCGGAAGAGCTTCCCTGGAACCTGGAGGGAAGGGGAGCGAGTGAGCGTTTATTGAGCACCTGTTATACCAAGCATCTGCTTGGCAGTTCGCAAAGGTCGCATCTTTTCATCCTTACAGCGACCCCTGTTGAGTTGCCTTGCTAAAGCCGTGCAGCTCCCAAGGGGCTGGGATTCATTCCAAATTTTTTTCTCCGATGCCATCTCACTTCTAGGTGTCTCTGCTGCTTTGCAGCGCGGGAAACCCACTCAGAGGAGTGATTTCCAAGGCCTCCTGTTTGGAATATCTTTAATCCTCCCATTATTAACTGGAAAAACTATGCGTCCTTCAAGGCTCAGCTCAAATGTCATTTATCTCTGCCGTGAAACTTTCCCAAGGAAAATTAGTCACATAGCTAATTTTAGATAATTTTGAGCCAGTTGATAGCATTTGTTACGTTTAGAATCCTTCCAGGTTTGGGTCCTCTCCCCGACCCCCCACCAAATTGTAGGACGTTGTCTTTATGTACTCAGAGCATGGCATTCAGTAGGCTTTAAAATTAGTATCTTTCTGGGTTGCAATGATTCCAAGCATACAGTTCTTTCTCTACCAAACCAGAAACAAGAAGCAATCACACATGTTCCTAGTATACCCCAGATAGGCTTAATTATTGTTCCCAATGGAGGAAATTTACAGTTAAACATCAAGTTTCCCTTAGGGTGATCATGATCTTTTTTGTTTGTTTGTTTTTGATAGTCTCTCTCTGTCACCCAGGCTGGAATTCAAGGGCACAATCTCAGTTTACTGCAACCTCCCCCTCCCGGATTCAAGAGATTCTCCTGCCTCAGCCTCCTGAGTAGCTGGAATTACAGGCACCCGCCACCATGCCCAGCTAATTTCTGTATTTTTAGTACAGAG